TCACAATACATATTTTTAAGATATAAACTTTTACTGAGAAAGTCATTAATAAAGAAATCAAATACCATATGACAAAAAGAAAAGAAGAAAAAGTGAATTTGCCGCTCGAAATTATATTCGTTACTCTGGACTCGTTTTTTCCAGATGTACTTTTCTGAAGATGAACAAACATCGAAATATCAACTCAACATTTTTTTCTTTTGTTAAGCAAATACACTAACAGAAAATAAAAATATGTAGTCCAGATTTTATTCTTATTTTGGACTAATCATAAGATTTTAACTCAAAGCCCTGAGGATATGTAGCCCGGAATACCTAACTGAAGAAGAGAAATATATTGAGAACACTTGCAAACTTCCCTACTATCAACATCATTTTATCTTCAGTAGTAAAATCGGATCTTACAAAATCCACAAAGCCAAAAAATAGACACCAACAATAACACTTCTAACAAAAATTACACAAAATTCATAATCATGCCCTTCAAAAACTCTTTCTACAAAACTAACAAATTAGTCATCCCTTATACTAAGATCATTACCATTACCTTCAAGACAATCGGATATATAATTAGGATGAAAAATAAACCCGACACTAATTCAAATGCCGGGATTTATCAAATAAATTGTTTACATTGCAAAAATGTTTATGTGGGGGAGACATAACGTAATCTAAAAGTCCACACCTACGAACAGAAGAGAGACTTGCGTTTAGACAACCGATCTAACTCTCGTTTTGCCTCGAATCGATGCTAGACAAAACTTTGATTTCACTAATGCCACTAAAATTAAAAAAGAACATAATTCTTTAAGGAGAAAATCCATTGAAAACTTAATAATAACATTATTACCAACCATAAACACACACCTAAAACATTACATTACATCGCCAACTTTCCTTGAATCCATTCTTAAAGAATCTAACTTATATCTATCTAATGCAAAGAAGACATGCTTAAAAAGATCAGTCATAAATTAGAACGATGTGACTCCTCGCTGCACTGGCTTAACCGCACCAAATTGAAGACATTAGAACTCTCACTAGATAGGAATGCATACACACATTACCATCCGATGCCCACTTAGACATACAAGAATCTTCCCAAATTTACATACATATAGAATTATCTAAGGTTTTAATGGACGTGACAAGTGTCTAACCCATGAGAACTGAACTGACACAAACAAAATTGAAAATACCATTGTTTCTGATTTTTAGTCTCAATCTCTGACGAAGCTTTAATTTAAACTGAAACAAGTTAGATTGATATACATTCCGATAAATATTTGATCTTTAACTTATATATATATATATATATATATATATATACATGAAGAAATATAATTTTAAGGTGTGCTATATTTACGGGATAAAGTGCTCAATATCAGAGATAGAGCGTATGTAAATATAAAAGTGAACATTAAAGTCAAGGCTGTTTCATGCTAGACGTAAGACGGCCTGACGATTGCGTCTAGCATGAAACAGCCTGTCGCCTCTCAGTGTTGACTTCAATGTTCATTTATATATATATATATATATATATATATATAGTTGGATTGATGTGAGTTTGTGATCCTGGGTTTCACGCTATTTGCGATCGTCAGACAAACTGTCGGTGTTTTTATGGAAGTGGGAGGAAAAGTTGTCTTCGGAAACCAACACATACTTACGCAAACATACATACACGCACGTTCACTCATTGACGTACGCAGACATACATACAAGCACGCTCACTGATTGGAGCTCACACAGAATGTGAACAGTGTGGGACTGAGCATATATGCGCATCCATGTGTCGTTGCATACATACGTACGCAGTTGGTCGCTGTATTCAATGTTGCAATGTGTGGTTGATGTGGACCCAAAGTTGGGACCCCGGAAGGAAAACACGGAACACGGATTAGAGGTAAGAAAGATATATTAAACAAAAAGGTTACAAAGATAGTGTAAGTGTAAGCGGAGCTTACTATGTGCTAGTGTCCAATATTGGTAGTCGTACGCGGCTGATACTACGGTATTAGCTCTCTCTCTCTCTCTCTCTCTCTCTCTCTCTCTCTCTCTCTCTCTCCTCCTTTTCTCTTAGAGTATTATATCACATACTTTATATGGTCCTGGAAGAGTCCATGTTGTAGGTATGTTTTTGTCTCACAACACGCGCGGATAGATCGTGTAGAAATCTGATCGTGCAGTTTGTGGTTGGTCTTTTGCATTGTAGGACCTCAGGCCATTTTGAGTGGCTGTTCACAACAATGGGGTAGTACATGTTGTCTATAGGCCCTGCAAAATCGATATGAATTCTTTGCCATGGATAGTCTGTGTTTGGCCATGGTTTGCACGTCATGGTTGGAGCTTTTGCTGCAAGCGCGCATCCTTTGCATGGTTCTATCATGTCTGCTATGTCCTTGTCCATGTTTGGCCAATAAACATAGCAGCGCATGAGGCTTTTCGTACGGTTCTTCCCCGGATGTCCCATGTGAAAATCCATGAGGATTTTTCTTTGTAGGCTGTTTGGAATCACTACGTGGTCATTGTATAGTAGGACATCATCGCAGAGGGAGAAAAATTCAGGCACATTGGGGTCTTAATTGCGAATTTTGCTTTTTAAGGATTGAATGAATTCATCCTCTCGGGACTCCCTTTTTATGTCGGCCAAAGTAACTGGGAGCTCTCTTATGGTACTCGCGATCATGTTTTTGATTTCACAATTTGTCCTTAGAGTAGCAATGATGGAGTCTTCAAAGACTTCTGTATTTTTTGGAATGAGTCTATCTAACTCTCTGTTGATTTGCTCTAGATCAGCGAAAGGGACATTCCGTTTCTTTTTGAATACCGGTTCTGCACCGTCCTTCACCTTGAACTTAGCTTTCAATTTAGTACATTTCCCAAGGCCGCCAGAAAAAACCTGGGGAAATTGTTGTTTGAGTTCCTTTTTGAGATTTACCAAATTGGACGTTGTACTTTGTATCTTGCGACAAAATGTACTCATTGGGCAATCCCAAAGATTGAATTTTTCTATCCAATCTGTTCCAAATAAGTTATCTGAAGTTTTCATTACGTAGGCTTTGAGCTTTTTGGTAACTCCATTTACTGTTACTGTAAGTATTACCTCGCCAGTTACGGATTTTGCTGTTTTCTCCGTTTTTAATAAGGTCGGCTTGTTTAATTTTCGCCAAGTACGCCAGTTAGTGGTTGAAAGATCAGAACCCGAGTCAAGCTGGAATTTAATGGAATTATTGAAAATATCCACAGTTACATATTTCCTTAAATTCCTATCGACAATATTGTCAGATTGAGTTTGCCTAATTTTATTTTTGGGTTTTCTCGTTCTGTTGGCGTACCAGCACCGAGTTAAAGTATGCCTATTTTTATTGCAATTTTTGCAATATTTTTTGTTCTTAACTGGACAGGATTTCATCCAATGCCATTTACCACAATGGTAACATGGTCCGGGTGGTTTCTTTAACCTACTTGGGTTTTGGTTACTGCAGAATTTAGGACATGAGATTTGCCTTTTGTCTTTTTGAGGGCAATAGGAGGTAGACTTGCTTCTGATTTTATTAATCTGAGCCACATCTGATTCCTCGATAGTGTTCGAGTCACACTTTACAGATATTACTCTTTGACAGTCCTCTGCCAGTTTTTGGAGAGTCAATCCTTGTTCGTTCTCAAGCTTGGTCAGTACCCGTCGTCTGACTTTGGCATCTTCTGCTGATACTAGACCTTGTGCGAAAATTAAGCACTTGAAATCATCGGCATTCAGTTCGGCTAGTTTAAAATCATTACAGAGCTTGTTTACCGATGCTGCAAACGTTAAAACATCTTGCTGGTTGTCTTTGACTGTATTCAGGCATTTCCAACGTTTGTGGAACAAGGTTGTGTTAGGCCCAAATAGTTCCGATAGGAGTTTAATAGTCTCTGAAAAATCCAAGTCTGTGGTTTTCTTGGGTAGTATGAAGTCTACGAACCTATTATGTTCTGTAGTTCCCAGTTTTCTCAATAGTAGACGTACCTTTTTTTACTGGGCCATTGTACACAGTCTACGTTGAAAATATCTTCGTAGCGCCTGTAAAATGCCTCGAACGTTTTGTCGTTCTCTGGTACGTATTCAAAGGTTTCCATTGAATTGTAGATTGTACTCTGGGAAAATATTGTATCTTTTTCAGAGTTTGAGCCTTTTAATGCATTTACGAGTAATTCTTTAAGTTGTTTTTGTTGTAGTTCAGCATTCTGAAGCGTAATTTGTTGGAATTCCATTTGTTGTTTATGTAATTCCAAAAATAGTTGTTGTTGTCTTTCTTCTGATTTTTGCTGCTGATCCAAATGTACTTTTAGCATTTGGACGATTACTTTTTGAAAATATTCCATATTTAGACAAACAAAAATGACAGCGATTTTTTATTGCTTTGAAACCCGTGTACCAAGGGGAGGTACACAAAAAATCTTGATAGATTTTTTTTTTTTTTACAAAAAAAAAATATGGACAGACAATTAGTTAAACTAAACTAATTATGTGTTTAGCTTTTTCGAGATTCCGTGGTTCCGTTAATTTTAACGTACTTGTATAAATTTTCACCACACTTATTATGTATTTTTTTTTTTTTTTTTGTAGAGGTACACAAAAGAGAAAACTCGTCTCAGTGAATTTGAGGGGAGAAAAATTTTATGCACGAGATTCAACTCAGTTACATAAAAAATATTTTAGATAGTTTTTTTCGAAAACTAGAGTCGTAAGTAGTACTTCGGCTCTTGTGTTGTCAGTTTGTTTTATGAACAAGCTGTTTTTTTCTGTGTGTGGGTGTGTAAGAAATCGTTCTCGTAATGTTATTTGGACAGACTTTAATATTCCGTAGATGTCGAATCGCTATTTCGTCACTGATGTTTGGTATCGGAATATATATTTTTTTTATATGTAGACGCTGGGTGTTGCGTTTAGATCGTTGATGTAGTAATACCAGCTTAATTTATCGTTCAACACTGCTGTGGGAACGCGTGGAGTTTCTGTGTATTTTTCGAGTACTCTGTCGCTAATGATATGGTGAGAACGAAATTCTCGAATCTTTCTGTCGCCACTGATGTGGGACTGGTAAGGTATTGAGATTTTCGACGTGAATGCGTTTCTCGAATTCTTCGTCGCCACTTGATGTGGGACTGGTAAGGCATTGAGGTTTCGGCGTGTGTGCGTTTCTCGAATTCTTCGTCGCCACTTGATGTGGGACTGGTAAGGTATTGAGGTTTCGGCGTGAGCGCGTTTCTCGAATTCTTCGTCGCCACTGATGTGGGCCAAAAGTTGGGACCACGGAAGGAAAACACGGAACACGGATTAGAGGTAAGAAAGATATATTAAACAAAAAGGTTGCAAAGATAGTGTAAGTGTAAGCGGAGCTTACTATGTGCTAGTGTCCAAAATTGGTAGTCGTACACGGCTGATACTACGGTATTAGAATACTCTCTCTCTCTCTCTTTCCTCCTATTCTCTTAGAGTATTATATCGCATACTTTATATAGTCCTGGAAGAGTCCATGTTGTAGGTATGTTACGGTCTCACAACAGTGGTGAATACCTTTCGTCAGTTGGCGTGTCAACGCACAGACCGTTCGTCTATTCTGTTCGCTGAATAATGTTTTCTCGCACACACGTCTATACGTATGCACACGCGTTCATACAGCTATCCGTCTGTTTTTTTATGATGGGGTCTGTGTAAGACTATGGTAGGTAAAATTGCTATTATTTTCGATTTTTTTAATACTGTTTGTTATTATTTTAATGCCAGTCATTTGCTTGATTTGCGCATATGTAAATGGTAGAAACTCTAGTTTGTAATACTTATTAGTATTTATGTGGTGGTATTAATGTTGTTGAGGCAGGGGAAGTAAGTATAATTGGGCTGATACGGTAGTGGTAATTGTGGTGCAATGGTAATTGTGGACTAATACAGCAATGCTGTAGTAATGGTGGGGAAGCGGGTGGTGGTAATAACAAGTAGCAGCAAATAGTTATTGTAAAGTGGTAGAAGTGTTCGTAGTAATGGTGGTTGAATGATAATAACAATCATTTTAATTATTATGATGGTAGTATGAACTAGAAAATAATTGATGGTGTTATGATGTCAGTGGTTTCTCTTTTCATGTTCATAGGGTCAATGCTGGTTTATGCAGTAATATTGTCTTTTTATCCGTTTGACATAAATTATAATAATAGATATTTATTTTCAGGTCTGCATTTAGAAATTATTTCTGATCTTATGTTAGTCATTTCTTTTGTTGGGTATGAGAAATTATTGCTACCTGTTCGTTTAGGCAAAGTAGGCATTTCTTTGTAATGTTGTTGTAGGCAAGTGCTTTTTTTCAATATTTTCCAGCTTATTCTTGGTGTAATATTTCTGTCTTTTAGATGCCACATGTATGTGGATAGTGTAGTGCTGTTTGAGTATTTTCTGTTGGAGAATGAAAGGTCATGGTTGTTTTTCTTTTCTTGAATAGTCCCTCTGTGGCACCGATGTAATACATTGTGCTGTTGTTTGCACTTACCTTGGCTCTATATATTATATTTGTTGGCAATTTCCTTGGAGTGGGCATGTTGTTTTATTTCTGCAGTTGCATTGAGGTTCCTTGGTTGCATTATTGCAGGTTGTTACTTTTTTTTGATGTGGCTTTTTATTATTTTTGTTATATTTTTTTGTGCAGCTGTAACTGATTTTAACGTTATTTTTATTGAATATTTTTGCGAATCGGTTTGTTGCAAGGAAGTGCTTTTCTATTAAGTTTAGGAATGTCCTTCCTATGTTTGTTTTGACGGTTTTGTTGTATGGTGGGTTAAACCAGATAATGTTTCATTTTCTGTTTTTGCGTTTCGGTTGCGGAGGTGTGCATTGTAGTTGTTGTGTGTATCCACTTTTTTTAGTGCTTCGTCATATGGTATTTTTTATTATTGAAAATGTCTATGTTTGATGAGTTTTCAGATAGCCTGCGGCTGATTGATTTGGGTATTTGCTTGATGCTAAATGTCTCGACAGTAGGAAGGTTTCCTTTTTTCTATGAACTTTTTATTTCATGTGATCACGAGATCACTACAGATAAATTAGAAAGAAACTACACACATTCTGTTTTAATCAGACCATCATCATTGATGATCTTATATCCATGTTCTGACCGCAAATTAAACAAACTCGTTAAGTAAATGACCATCACCCTCCACAACATCCCATCCTTTACACATCAAAGCAATGTCTTCCGCCTTATTATCCCTCCCAATCCATTTTCTGCCCGAAAATTACACAAACTCGTTAGGTAGGTGATCATGACTCTCCACAACGTCCCATCTTTTACACATCTAAGCAATATTTTTTACTTTATTATCCCTCCGAATTCATTTTCTGTCCGCAAATTACACACACTCGTTAGGCAGATGACAATGGCTCTCCACAAGTTCCCATCTTTTGCATACCTTAGTCATGTTTTGTACCTTATTATTCCTCCCAATCCATGTTCTACCCATACATTACACAAACTCGTTAGGTTGGTGATAATGACTCTCCACAACATCCCTTTACATATCGAAGCAATTATCACTGACAATCCATGTTCTGCCGGCAAATGTAACTAAGGTCTGATAAGCATAGTTACAGTGGAAACCTTAGGTGGGCAATGTGGGTGTTGAACACAAATGTGCCTGAGAAGATGTCTGCAGCAAGGATTGGCTATACGCCGTAACAGACGCACATGTTCGGAAAACGAGGGTAACCATCTCTTATGCATGTATGCCAATCAAGGATAAAGAGTTTGTGTGTCATATACGCCTGATACCTATGAAATCGAATACTAATCACAAATGTCATCTTAGTGGCCATAGACACCGAAACCAAGACGGAAGCCATTTAAAAGTGATGCAAAGGGTGAGGAGGAGGCGGCTCTTCTCTGAATAAAATGAGGCAATCACCATGTGTATTTATATATGTATGTACTGCATGTAAAGTTTCTTACAAACTGTTAGCATAACTGACCTTTGTTTTTCATGATTTTATGTATCACATTCATTGGCGGACCTAGTGTCGCATTTGGGTGAATTACTATAATCGATGAACACGCAAAATTAGTTTAGAGGGGAGGGGAAATTTACGACGGCCGCAAATGTTGAGTCAGCCGCTATTTTATTAACAAATTCAATCTTTAAACTCTTGGTAGATTATGAAAGGAATTACTGAAATATATTTTTGGAAATTAAATATAATGCAAATTTGCATCTTTACGAAAAAAACTATTCGTATATGGATTATTGGATTAATATTATTGGATCATTGCAATATATCGTGTCCGATTTTCATTTTTTTTAATTTCTTATCAGACACGGTCTTTTTTGCAACGATCTAATATTTTTAACCTTATTATTTGTGAAGGTATTAATCAATGCTATTTTTTTACAGGTCTACGAGGTAAAAAAGTGCAACACGTCTGTCCTTTAATTCCAACAACACCAAGACCTACGACAACGACACCACGACCAACAACAACAATAACACCTACTACGACAAGACCCACGACAAAAACTACAACGCCCACTGCGTCAACACCGACAACAAGACCCACGACAAAAGCAACAACGCCCACTACAAAACCCACGACAAAAACAACAACGCCTACTACGACAAGAATCACGACAAAAACAACAACGCCCACTACGACAAGACACACAACAAGACCCACGACAAAAACAACAACGCCTACTACAAGAATCACGACGAAAACAACAACGCCCACTACGATAAGACCCACAACAAGACCCACGACAAAAACAACAACGCCCACTACGACTAGAATTACGACGAAAACAACAACGCCCACTACGATAAGACCCACAACAAGACCCACGACAAAAACAACAACGCCCACTACGACTAGAATTACGATGAAAACAACAACGCCCACTACGATAAGACCCACGACAAAAACAACAACGCCCACTACGACTAGAATTACGACGAAAACAACAATGCCCACTACGATAAGACCCACAACAAAACCCACGACAAAAACAACAACGCCTACTACGACAAGAATCACGACGAAAATAACAACGCCCACTACGATAAGACCCACAACAAGACCCACGACAAAAACAACAACGCCCACTACGACAAGACCCATGACAAAAACCACAACACCCAGGACGACAAGACCCACAACAAGACCCACGACAAAAACAGAAACTCTCACTAGGACAAGACCCATGACAAGAACAACAACGCCCGCTACGACAAGAATCAGGACGAAAACAACAACGCTTACTACGACAAGACCCACGACAAAAACAACAACGACAACTACATCAAGACCCACGGAAATAACAACAACGCCAACTCTGACAAGACCCACGACAAAAACAACTTCCAGTACGCCAAAAACTTCACAGACAAGATATATGACATCAAGACTTACATCTGTCACTGAAAGAATCTCCAAAAACAACGCCAGTTCAGTCGTACATTTTGTCTCTACACAGTCAACAAGGACATTGAATTCTTTTACGAACAAGAGTACAATCGTTGTAAATTGGGATGTCACTAATACTACAGAACAACATCCAGGCCAGAAGTTATCTACCAGCGGCGTTAACACAGCAAAAATAAACAATCAAATGACGTCATCTTCGGTGAGTGATATGAAAACCGGTAGCACAAACAGTTTTGAAGGGACGACACGCAATATTCAAATTGGAAATACTGCCGAGCAAATAAAGAAAGAAAAGACAAAGAAAATTATTATTGGCAGCGTTGTTGGTGTTTTGGCCGTTATCGTTCTAATTACTATCGTTATTATTATTAAAAAGAAACGCAAACCATTTACTGAGCCATTTTCGGACCAACACAAACTGACAGGAGATAAAAATAGGGTATATTTTAAAAACAGAGTTTATGAATGAATCCTATTGCCGGAGTTAATTCATAAATTTTGTCGAACCAGATATTAAAAATGAAATAAAAGCAAATTTACAAAAAATACTAACAGAAAAAAAAAAATATTGCAACTTCATCCAAAACAACAAGTTTAGTTGCCAATGGCTGTCAACTTTCATTTTTATTTTTTATGGTATTTTCAAAGCCGAACCACAGCGATGAAAAAGTTATTCAAATAATATCTGTTTCTTTTTTTTTTTCCAATGAAAAATATATATTAACATCTTTCTAACCTTTCTTTGGATAAAGTTATAGCGTATATTTTATTCGGGTGCGTGTTCAATAGGTAAACAAAGATAGAAGCATACAAAAGCTTCAAGTTTCTGCTAGGGACGTTTATTCTTTTGATGGTGACGATAGTGAAACAAAGTTCTCAATGTCTCTTAGTTATGTCCGTTTAACCTTTGGGATCAGAAATAAATATAACGATGGTTAAAATGGTCGGTCTCAAGACAGGTTTGCGCTGAGTTTGAATGACTAATCCACTTCATAAATAGAGCTGTCGAAACACATTCGAACGCTATCGTTAGAAAGTGAAAAATTCTGTCCTTTCCGGAAGTGTGGTTATAAAATTGAGCATGTGACCAGGAACTCTTTCCGGTTGATTTATTACTTGCATTATGATAAAATGAATTTATCTTTTTTATTATTATTTTATTTGTTGGTTTTATTTCTTTTTTTTTTTTTCTTCTTTTTTTTCAGAAAATTAAGCAGTTGGAGTTTATATAATTGGCATTACGACCAGAAAGAATAATTATTTTTTTCATATTCCTATCGTTTAAACACTAATATAAACAAAAACAAATATGTTAACAGAGTGGTCCATTTTGGTATGAATGGTTCATTTTGGTCTATTGTGATATGTACATTTATCGTACGCCAAAATTAAAGATGGCCAATGCACATAATTTAAAATTTGAAAATGAAAATTTTTTGAATCTGGAGTCCTTTTTTCGTATTTTACTATCGATTACGATATTTAAAAAAAATAAAAATATGATTTTTAAATTTTAAGAAATTACATGTTATGGTCATATTTCGTTGGAGGGTGAAATTTACAATGAATTTACATTTAAAATATGGACACCCTATTAACTTTTATAAAATTTAATAATAAAAAAATTCATATTCGTGGTCTGGAGTGCTTCAGTGATTGATTATAAAAAATACATTGAAAAAGTTTTTATTTCAAGTCGCAGTGCCATTTGGACAACTGCACCATTCAGCGTTTCAAACAAATTCTAAATAACAAATCCAGATTTAATAACCTTATATTCACATTATATATAATTTCCTGATATGTACCTAATAAATACCTTATATTCATCGTAAATATAATTTCCTGATATGTACCTAATAAATACATTATATTCACCTTATATATAATTTCCTGATATGTACCTAATACATATGTACCTAATAAATACCATGTATATTTAGGCAGCAATCCTTGCTTTATGCATGTTTCATTAAAAACGACAGACAAGGTACTACGGTTAAGCTTTTTATTTAATTTTTCTTGTGTTCGAACAAGAACTTTCTTTTCTGGACAAAGGGTGTGTAAGAACTGTCCAAATGTTTTATATTTCCCAACGCTTTCGGCTATACCTTTAGCCATTATCAAGGATGATTGGATTTTTCAGCTTAATTGAGTGCGTGCGTACTGTGTATGTCTTAGTGTGTGGTAGGGATGTTTTTAATTTCCGAATACGGTTAGCACATTGTGGCTTTGTTCGTAGTTAATATTGTTAAGAGTTGGCTTTTTCTTTTTTATTATTAAAGCTTCCATTATTTTTAGTCTTTAGAAAAAGATATTATCAGTTATAAAAATCTTGTCGGCATTAAATAACCCATTGAAGCTGATATGCCGTAAAACAAACCAAACCAAACCAAACAAACGATTCTTCAAATATTTCTATCAATCCAATTCACATAAGGGTATAGTCAATAGATAACGTTGAAACTGTTTTCAAAACGTTTACTATTACATTGTTGACATATTTAAACGTAATCTTTTAATATTAGCTAAAGAACAATTATTGCTTTCGTTTTGTCAAATAAAATTGGGACAATGGACTTCAAAACAATTGTTTCTTTTTAATTTAATCTACATTTTTTCTCAGACGAATTTTTCTCAGTAAATTCAGATCTTAGAAACAATAAATTTACTGATATTGCTAAACAAATGTACTCTGGCATATATTTCTAAAATTTCAAATTGCCACATTAAACTTCCTTTATATTCTGTTGCAATAACCAATTAAAAGTACTTTCATGATTTATACGTATTTCTCCAACTTGTATTGAAAACAAAACTGCATCATTTTGCATCAAAAGTTCAATAACGAATAACTTCATCTACGTTTATTCGTTCTTTTCTATACGTTTGCATTTTCAATTAAAACCGAATTCATAAATAATTACATCGGACACACTACTACATGCCTATCCAGACAACTTACGTTACACCTATGCGAACCACAGCTTCATTAGAACCCATTTAGACACACGCACAAACTTACCAGACTCTATCCGAGACATACCAGTAGAAAATACAAACATAATAACCTCATCCATATGTAAGAAAGATTTAAAATAATGGAAGCCTTAATAATAAAAAAGGAAAAGCCAACACTTACTAATATTAAGTGCAAACACGGCCACAATGTGCTAACTGTGTTAGTAAAATAAAACACTCCTATAACTCTAGAAACATACACACAACCCATACATCCAATTAAAAAGGAAAAATAAAATCATCCTTGAAAATGGCTAAAATTATAGCCGAAAGCGCCTCAGAATAACAGAACATTTGGATAGTTTCTGTCCAAAATAGAAAACGTTTGTTCGAACACAAGAAAAATTGAATAAAAAGCTTAATGGCAGTACTTTGTGTGTCGTCTTTAAGTAAACATGTATATTCATTGTTATATATGATTCTTATTTGTTCTAGGGTGCGGTGTTAAAAGGAACCCAATGTTTCATTAGGACAGCTTAATTTTTCACGTTTTTTAGCGTTGTACTCGATGTGAAATCTGGAGTTTGATGCGATAAGTACTGACCCCAAAAATTGGATTCATAGCTTCCACAACTTTTTGAGCATTTAAAGACCGTCTGAAAAAAATGTACAGAAATACCTAATTTCCGTAAGTTTTGCTTACAAACTCCAAATTTTGTTTTTTCAAAAAGAAATCCAAATAAAGTATTGATGGAAAATACATTCAAACCAGAATTCTAATTATGAATCATCACAAGCAAAATATACAGTTTTTTTTACTGCATTCGATAAGTAAAAACTGTCTAAAAAATTGTAAACGATTACAAAAAGTCTACTCAATTAGTAAAATTTGTTAGATCATGTGTTATAATTATTAAAAACCATAAATAAATAAATGTATCTGTCTCTATTTCTGAGATAAGGTATTCTAATTATTTACACTATTTACATTGTTTAGACTGTTGTCCTCATCTTTATTGCCATATTCACCTTCAACATCTGTCTTTATTTCTGAGATCAGGTATTGTAACTATTTGCACGATTTACATTGTTTGGACTGTTGTCCTCATCTTTATTGCCATATTCACCTTCAACATCTGTCTCTATTTCTGAGATGAGGTGTTGTAATTATTTACACGATTTACATTGTTCGGAGTGTTGTCCTAATCGTCGTTGCCATATTCATGACGTTTCGGCCGTTGTACGTTCCGGCCTTCTTCAGGTGATTGCAATTTCGAACTGAACCCTTTATTTTGTCCACCGCAGTAGATTGTTCTAGCTTCACGTGCCATGCCTCTTCCAAATATCTCAGTATCAGTAATCTCCCTTTAATTCAACTCTCCAATTTTTTTCACCTCGGCTCT